GTAGGAAAGAACATGAGCGAACCTATTGGGACGCCTCAGTAATAGGAGGAACATCTCTCGACATTTCTCGAGAGGAATCAACGTTGATGATTTCAGTACCCTATGATAAATAAGCAACTTTAGAAAGATTTATGTCATGAAAAAATATAGTCGAAATCAAATTGTTTATAGGAATACCTTAGGCACTGATTTCATAGCATCTTGAAGAAGCTTCCCAGTGGGAGGTTTCTGAGTTTTCTTGGAAAGAGAAACCACCAACTTTCCCTTTCCTTTATCCTGCTTCTTCGTGGTTGAAACCTGAAAGTAAGGGAACAAGATATGAGTAGGACTCAAAGGGATAAAAAAAAATAATAATATTAAGGCAAAGAGTCTTCTTACTGTCTTGGTACTGCCTGAATCCACTCTCTGTTTCTTCGAGGTTTCGATACTCTGAAATACGAAAAACGAGAAAAGAAAATGAATGAAGAGAATGGATCGAAAAGGTTCAAAGAGATGGTGAGGCGAAAAATCCTTACCTTAGAACGAAGGGTGGCTTTTCCGGAAGCGGTCTTTCTTTTTCGACCCTTCAAGGATGTTCCTTGGACATCATCATCACTCTCCCAGGCAGAATTTTGCTCATCGTGTTGAGGAACACGTTGGAAAACAGCAGCTGTGTAAGAACGTGGTGAGTGAAGGAGGTTATGACAGCCAAGAAATCGAAAACGTTCTTGGGTATAGTCATTTACCAGGGGGAGGATTAGTGTTATCGACCCAACATAGAGGCCACCATCTTCTTCGAGGAAAATCGTACAAGGAACATCTCGCGTAAGTAACTCGATCTTTTACAGGGATTGCTTTATGATCAAGGTAAAATGGGTCGAGCGTTTTTACCCAAGGAGGGTGAGATAAATACTTAGCCAAGCCAAAAAGAGCATTTGGAAGAGAAGGTATCCTTTTAGGACAAAATTTTTCGAAATCAGTTTTTCCTTTAGGGTTAATTACCTTTTTCGAGCGAATGTTCCTCTGTACCATTTTCGATAGAGAGACGGACGCTTCGAAGATGGTTCGACCAATGTTGTTAGGTCGATAACACACTTTAAAAAATTGCTCAAACTGATAAATAATAATTCGGTTCTTGAAAGTACCTTATTGTTTGGGACCCTGCGAGGAAAGAGGAGAGTTAATCAACTTCTTCAAAAATGCATCAAAATCGAGAAGTTTATCCATATGATATGTACACCACCATCGAAGATAACACTTTGACACTAAGAAAGAGGGAGAGAAACGGCATGGGGTAAATCTAAGTTCTTTTTCAAGTTGAAGAATAAACTCTAAAACTTCCTCATAGTTTCCCGTATCAACACAAATGTCAGAGTCAATACTTTCTTTTCTCCGAAGGGGAAGAGGCTTCATCTGACACAGACCAAATTGGCGAGCAAACATTTGAGGCTGGTAGGGATAGATCCTAACTTCTTTTTGTTTCATGCCAGACATGATTACGTCCCAAGATAAAAATCTAGCCCACATCTCGACAGAAGCTGATGTGATATTCCAAACCTGGTTATTTTGTCGAAGCCAAGATGGACCTGTCAAGGTGGGTCGAATGAAAGGAGCTAAATCCTCACTAAATTCAGTGAAGCTTAGAATGGCGTCAATATATGTTGCAAAATTATCAATTAAACGTTTTTGAGGGGTCAAAGTGGTTAAACGTGCACCCTTAAGTTCACAGGTGGGAGTGAAAGTTGAAGTAAGGGATAGTTTCTTCTCGAAGATGGCATTGAGCCATAGTTGGAGTAGCCATAATGGTCCAGAGAGATTTCGAGGTCCAGTTTCTCGGAAAAGGCTTTCAGAGGCTTCATCGAGACAGGTGTACAAGGAAGCCAATAAAAGTTTACTTAAACAAACTTTCTTTTTCAAATGTAAGGCTTAGGCGAGAGTAAAATAGTATTTTGGAACCTGAAGCGAAGGAGTACAAAAAACGCAAGCAGATAACCAGTACATTAAGAAAGCAATATGTTCAAAAGGCGAAACAGGAGTCCCGGGTTGTCCTACATGGGCATTGATAAAAGCTAGATACGTCTTCTTATCCCATGTGATGGAAAGTTCTTTGATCGAAATTTCGTCCTCGAAAACATCAGGGTGGAATCTATCTCCTAAAGGGGTTAAACCAGTTATTGCAGCAATATCCAATAAGGTAGGGCAAACGAACCCACAGGGAAACTCAAAGGCTCGCGTCTCCCTATTCCAGAAGAAAATCGCAGACAAGAGCATTTGTGGGTCGAACAGATGTAAGTCAGATTTTGCAAGCTGAATAAACTCAAATATACCAGTTTCGACCCATGAAGAACTCATTTCATTTTCTACACGAAGTAACCATTCCAAATGCCTATTTTTGACGGGGGGAAAGGCCCTAAAAATCTTGGTAGTGTCTCTAAGCAAAGAAAGATCTATCTTTGGCGAGTGAATAAAGGGTAGAGTGGACGAATCCTCAGGTAACAAAGTATTGCCAAATTTCTTCTTATTTTGACCAATAAACGGTCCTAGAAAAGCATGCAAATTACCATCCTCAAGGGAGAAGGGAAGAAGTACCTGAGAATTATAAATCTTGAGGCTGGCCTTCTCCATGCCCGGAATGGGTACGAAGGTCTCATTGCTCTCAGGGACAGTGCAAACTTGTGCATTACTCATTAACAAAAGAATGGACTGACTGGAGGTTGCAGTCGCCATTACAGCTTGGGACGTTGCAACGGCCAACGTAGGAGATGATGAAGAAATCATAGTGGGAGACGAAGCAGAAGCCATAGTTGGAGATGAGGCAAAAGCGGTAGTAGGAGACAATGAAGAGGCCACGGCAGCGGAAGTGGACGCAGCAGAAGAAGCCATAACGAACAAAAGCAAGAACAGAGAGAACGCCCGGAGAAGAAGATCAAGAACCAGAGCAAAAGAATGAGCAATGAGCAAGAAAACTTGGGCACGAAGGAAGAGAATGGTGAAAACGATTTAACCCTAGGGTGAAAAAAGGTCTTAAACGAGGTAAATGGGCCTAAGTTGAAACGGGTTGGGCAAGGTTATTTAAAATTTAAATTGAATTTCCAAAACAACCGCCAAAACGTTTCATATCTGAAGACAAATTTATGGAAAAATGAAAGTATGCGTCGTCAGAGCCATCAATGTCACATCCAAATGGTCAGTACATTAATTGATGACAAGAATAGGTTTTCATCGAAGGAATGATTAGTTAACATCAAGAAACAAATCGAGGAAGTATCGAAGAAAAACCTTGATAGGAATTTAGTTCTCTCCTAAGATGCTCATCGAAACCAAATTCCTAGGGGGGCATTTGTTAGGCTTACTCGAAAATCATGTGACTCGAAAAAGGGTGTGAAAATTACTCGAAACAAAAGATAAAGGTCAACACCTACCAAGATTAAATTAAGAGCCTTATTTGTTCACATGTGAATGTGTTCGAATAGAATTAATTAAATTGAACAAAGGAGTGCTCGAAAATTTATCTGTTGTTCATTGAGGGGTTAAGCTAGAACGCGGTCTCGATAGCAACTCGAAAATGTAATAGTAACTCGAAATTGTAGAGAGTTGTTATTGAAGGGATCTTAACAGTTAAGGCGCACTAAGGTGGTTATTAAGGGTCGAATCGAGTAAAGTTGAAGCGTGAGGCGAACGGTTATGGGAAGTTACAATTTAGAGTCACGTAACAAGCATAGTGGATAGCGGTTATCCCCTAGTGGCGTACATGCATGAAATTAACCGTTCTTGATTGGCTCTATAAATACAGAAGCTACGTACCTTCACGGGGGTCGAAAAACTTCATACTAAAACTACACTCTGAAGCACTCTCTGCCTACGCTATGGCTTTCGTGCATGGAATCGTGTTTGGGTGTGGTTGCTTCTTGACCACTCTTCTTTTTTCTTTTCTAGAGTAGGATTACTTATAATCACTTCATTTTTATTCACGTACATTTCTGATGATGTTGTAATGCTTGAAAAGTATGAACCATGATTTGTCTAGGAATTATATCTGTTGTTCATTCTGTTTATTTAAGCTCTACGTGCATGAACACTATTTCTTAATAATCGTTGATGAATATCTGGAAAGCGAAAATTATTAAATTGTCTTCTAATATCAGGAAAGTAGAGATTATTAAATTGTCTTCTTACACTCTCAGACCTTAAATTACATACCTAAATTGAAACCTTTGTAGTGCTAGTTCGAATAAAAAGAATCCATAAAACGAAATCCACCCTAAACACTACCACAATTATTATTATTTTTTTTATAAACGTCGCATTTTCATGGTTTGTAACTTTTGTTTTTGTTTGTAATGTTTGATATGTTGTATCACAGTTGATTAATCTTTCAATGTCAACAATATTATAAAGGAACAATTATATCCATCAATCACTTGCTTAAATCACAAATTTCATTATAAAAATTTAGACCAAGAAAAATATGTAACATAAATAATCAAAATAAACAATTAACCTTTAATATTATAAATATATTTATCTCTCTCTCTATATATATATTTCAAGTACTGTATTTCAATTTAATAATACGTTTTTATCAATTTAAAATTTCTTACTAATTTTAAATTGTCTTTTTTACATTGAATATATATTTCACACAATTTTTAAGAGTAACTTATTTATTTATGTTTAAAACTTACTTAAAATTTCTTATCAATTTTTTATATTAACCGGGGCAAGAAATTAATCCCCAATATACATAAACCAAGCAATGATTGGGGCAAGAAAGTCAATGTACATTATCCATGCATATTTATAGTTAAGCATTATAGTACTTTGGTAGCATTGTTTAAAGCAATAAATATTCAATTTGGTTTCTACTTTACTTTCTTTCACGAAGATGAAACATGCAAGCAGTTACAGTAATTAGCTAGTAATTAATGCATCAAGTCCTAAAGCTTCTATAACCATACTAATAAATGAATTGATGCTATCTATTCCTTGTTTGACGCCACTGGATTTATTTCACAAATATGAACACGCAAAGGGCCACCGATGAATGATGATTAACATGCATATCGCTTATATATATTGTATAAGAAAACTACAACTATGATTTTGTATATTTGGGAAAATGACATCAATAAAACAAACAACTATATTTACCATATTTCTCTAACTACTCGCTCAACAAATCCTTGTTGATCACTAACTTCTGCGGAATTGGATTCTCAAAATGAAATTCACAACTTGTCTTGTGTCTCTATTCCTTTTAGCTGATTTTGGCATGAGTTTCTCTCTGTGTTCTTCTTCATGCAAAATGCACCTGCATACTAAAATCTAAGAACTGTCACTGGTTGCACATGTAGATCCTTTGTTCATAAAGGGCAACTTTGGGTCCTTCTCAGTGATGCCAATTTCCTTTTGGCCTTCTGAGCGTTGGTTTGAACTGATCCATTCACTTCCTCTAAATTCTGCACAATAAGGTGATTACAAGTTCATCATCCAAAAGAAACTATGGCTGTTTAGTTAAAATAAAGATATGACTATATAAGCTTTTTCTATAACATATCCTCATGGGAAATAAAATAATCAACCACACTGATTCATACTAATTATTATTAGTAATTTGCTTCGGACCATGCATAGCCAAGCACAGCAAATATTAATAATAATAAATATACGGTTCTCTTATTGAATTGTGCTGGTGGTTGTGGAAATTGAAAGGACAAACTTACAATGAAGTTTACCTAAATGTGAGATCAAATAAAAGGGTTTGTAATTGAACAAGCATAATAGTTACCTGTTGCTTTCTTCTCCTCTCAAGATCGGCCTAGAGATAGAAGCATATGTCAGATATGAAATTGTTATTATTAGTACAATAAAGAAAGGAAAAAAGAAAAAAAAAAAAAAAAAAAAAGAACCCTGAACTTTGATCAAAGTACAAATAAGTTGGCATACCACAGCTAGTTTAAGTTGGGCGTTCTCTTCTTTTAATTGGTTCAATTCTGCTTCTAATTCAACAGTGTATGCCTGCAAAGACAAAAATAGAAATGGTTATGTCACGCAAATGAAGGTTATTAACAATACTTTGTCAAATATTTATGCTAGATTATGACATCCTAGTTAGCATCTTCAACTTTTCCCCCCTTTGCATCCAATGGTTCATACGACTTTTTCCCCTTTTTAAAAATGATTTATATCTCCAGTGTAATTTCATTCATTTTGCTTGAAGTTAGAAGGAAATTCTCTTTTAAGGGTAAAACAACTCAAACTCTCAAAAGTAAACCCCTACTTTTTTCTTTGGCCGTGGTGATCCCTGGTATACATGAGTGACGTACCTTTTCTCTGCTATTTCCCCATCTCTAGTAATCAGTTTATCATTTATAAGTGTTATTCTCACATTTTTTCCCTACCCCTTCTATATCCTCTTTTTGATCAATAAAGGATAAGAGGGTCTATCAGTAAAGGTGATGTAAAGAGTAGAGTAAAACAATATAACGTAAAAAAAGAAAAAGTTGCTGTTAATTATTCTGCCTCTAACTGTTTTGCCTGCACCAAATTATAAGTTATGCTGGAACTCTCTTACTGAAAAATACATTGCACTCCATAACACTCTTATGTTGACAATTTGACATCTTTAAATACCAAACTACAACTTAAGAAAAAGAATCACAATTTTGGCCAGATCTTGTGGCCAATTAATCAGTAGTTGATTTTAATAGCAGTCCTGAGATGTGGGTTACCCTTACAACCCTATAAAAGAAAAAAAAAACTAGTCCCGGTGCCTTTGTTTATAGGTAAGATAACAAAATCTTAACCAGTAGCTAGTTCAGGGACTTAAAAGAGTATATATAGATCGAAACTACACAAACTGCAGTGCACATTGCACAGTAATCTCAGAGAACCAGATAAGCAGCAACAAGTTTTTTTATTAGATGCATGATAATCAAGACATCTAATGCCAAGAAAAAGATTTTCAGACAACTGTGAGTGTACACACCTTGAAAGATAAGAAAAAACGAAATATAAGTGATTGATATGATGTGATATAAGGAATCAAAGATGTCATGTCACTTGAGTGTTTGTAAATTTTAGATGCCTAAATATCATAACGCAATTATAAATGCAGTTTGTGAAAACAAGGTACCAACATGTTTTCTTGCTCTAGATCTGGCTGCTGATTCTCTGTTCTTGATCATCCTCCTCTGCCTTCTCTCCACCACCTTCTCCACAGGACCATCCAACACCCTCTTTCTCCCTCTAAACACCACCATCTCCACCCCAAACTGCCCACCAGAGTTCTCACCAGTACCTATCCCCTCAGGCGAAACCGGGCTAACCGGCGCCGCCATTCCCATATTAGTCGCCGCCACCGCCGCCGCATAACCGCCGCCACCATTCACCCCCCTCCCTCCAAAGCAAACCCCCGGCGGCGGCATTGTTGCCGCCGCCGAATACCCAGAAGGCTCCCCAATTGCACCACCACCACTCTGCACCACGGCCTGATAAGGCCGTGGTGCAACCACATTCCCACCACCACTACCGCCGCCGATCCCGATCATTGGCCTACTCACAAAAGAAGGCCCCATTGCATTTGGATACATGGCATACTGCTGCATATGATGATGAGGCTGAGGTTGGAGTGGCATTGCACAATGTTCCCTTACTACCCCAGCTTTGATCAAGAAATCCTCCAAAGTCATCTCTCCAAAGGTGGGTTGGCAAGGGGCAGATTCGGTATTTGGAGCATTGTTGGTATTTCCAACACTGCCACAATTGTTGTTGTTGTTATTCTCTTGTTGTCCTTTGTGTATCTCAGACCAAACCTCGTCCACTGTTTTCCTACACAAGGGTGCAGGAAGTGTTAGAGACCCTTGTCGAGGCAAACTCGGTTGCTTCCTTATCAACCCTTTATCAGTGGAAGCTTCACTTAGCGACAAGTTGTTCATGTTGTTGTTGTTGTTGTTGTTGATGACGACGTTGGAGTTGTTCATCACTTGGTTCTCTTCCGCATTCCATATGCTGCTGAGAAACTCGTCCATGTTCATTGACCCGAAGTTCTTGCCACTCTCCCATAGCGTGTGCTGGAACTCGTCGAGGGTGAGGGAGTATATTGAGTTCTGTCTTCCCAGTGATGAGAACGGAAATTGGTTCTTGTTGCTGTGTTGATCCAATTGTAGCGGCGATTCCACCTCGTTTTGGGTGTTCATACCGGACTCAGGCACCACCATGTTGTTGTTATTCTCTCTCTCTTTTTCTCTTTGCTGCAAAGATATGTTACTTGTCAAGTCAAACACAAACTATAATTAAGTGCTCTTCTCTTTATTTTTGCACCGGGTTTGTGAAAGTTCATCACTATGTGTCGATGGAAAAAACAAACAAGTTAGTCAGTCATCAATACATTATTCACAACAACTAATTATATTTTTTAAATTTTTATTTTATTTTTATTTCATTAAATAACCTGATATGATAATATTAAAAAATATAATTAATTATTAGTATAAAAAAAATTTATATTAATAATATATAAGTGATTAACTCAAAATAAAATTAATAAAGTAAGAAAAAAGAAGATAGAGAGAGAAATAAGTTTTTATTAAAATAAAATTTTGGGTTATTAATTTGATGAGATAAATAAAAAGAGAAATTTAAAAAGTATTATGAAGTTTTTCTGTGTAATGATACACATAATAATTTGTAAGAAGTCAGCTTTTGTGTTTATCTGTTTTGCTTTTCATTAAAAAAAATTGATATAGCACAATTCGTTGTATAAGTATAAATTTTTGAAGAAAAAAAATAGATTAAAAATATATAAAAAAAAAAGACATGTTTTACCCTTATCACATTTAACAAGTCTATATAATCAATTAACACACCCAACCAATTATTGATGAGATCTAATTTGAATATGACTCGATTAGAGCAAAACAAATTGTTGCTAATTAAGTATCACCTTTCAGAGAAAAATTAGACTACAAATAATTAAAAAAAAAACATGTTTTACCCTTATAACATTTAACAAGCCTACATACGGTCATTGGATAGGGACTATCTGCATAAGCACTATGATGTGATTCGCCGGATAAAGCGCATAGTAGTTAGGGACTGGATTGTTTATGTAAGTCATATTCCTAGAGAGATGAATTCAGTAGCTCATACGCTTGCTAATTGGGGTGTACGGAATGTAGGTTCCATTATATTTTGGAGGAGCCCTCCTGATTTTATCCTGTTAGCACTAGGGAGAGACTCTATGTCTTGATTGTCTCCTGTTTTAAATTTCATTCTTTACCAAAAAAAAAACAAGCCTACATAAAGGATAATTAACGCACCCAACCAATTATTGACGAGATCTAATTCGAATGAAACTTGACCAAAAATCAATTATCAACGCAACAATACCATAACGAATTGATCATCACCCAACACAAAGATGAGAAGCTTTAATTATAGCTCACAAGCATGAGATAAATGACTTACATACATGGATAGTGAAAGGGAAAGAACATTATTCACTCAAATAAAATCGAAGATTAGTAGTTTGTGTTTACCAAGCACAGCAGATGGAAGATCAGAAAAGAAAATGGAGACCAAAGATCGAAGATAGGTGAGAGAGAGTAGGACACACCATAATGAAAACTGACCAATTTCTTGTATTTTCTACGATATTTCGCACTATTTTAAGCAAATTAGAGATCAAACAAGACACGAGTTATTTTGGACACACTATATCGAAAATCGAGAAACACGCTATAATATTGAAAACCGAGACTTATTACACACGGTATTGAAAACTCACCAATTTCTTGTTTTGTCAAAGATATTTCACACCATTTCACCAAAAAAATATTTTTAATTTTATGTGAAGCTCACTTTTTATTTCTTTCCTCCCAATTTCATCTTAACCAAATAAAATCAATTTAATATTTACTATATGGAATCCCATCTCAACTTCTTAACTAAATCAACTCTAGTAAACTCAAGGAAAAAGAGGAATACTGGAGAAAAGAAGATAATATAAAAACTTTATGATGGTGATCTTTCTTGCTATGGAAGCAGTAAATTATGTGTCATTCAATTTTTCCACCAAGTCAATGGAGCTATCACTATTTTTATTTTCATCAGTCACTATATTTGGGCATCTACAAATCAAATTTTTCTCATTATCAATATTTTTTTAAGGGTATGGTGATACACCGTTAATGAATTACAATTATTCAAAATTTTACACAATTATCAAATCAAAAATCACAATTTATACAATTTTTAGAAAAATGTAATTATTATTAAAATCAACCAACTTTATCATTTATGTGGATTGTAATTGAAAAAAAACTTTACAATATATATAACTTTTAAAATAATTATTATATAAAAATTAAATTAAATTGTGACTGTGTAAAATTATTTTTCGTCCTCCAACTATTGATGTATTACACTTAGGGGGGTGTATTGGATTAGGATTTTAAAGGACTTTGGTTTTTTCAACCTCCTGGTCTCTTTCTATTTTTTCTTTTTCTGTTTGTCTCGAGAAAACTTGGTCCTCTCGGTTTTTCTCTGTTTTTTCTTTTCCTTCATTCTTTCCAACCTCGAAGTCTACCTTTGTTTTTTGTTTTTCTTCATTTTTTTCAACTCCGAAGTCCACATTTGTTTTCTATTTTTCTTCGTCCGAGGTGGCCGTAATTTTTTCATCCATTTCTTTCACTTTCAAACGTCCTTCTTCACCTTCAACTTCTTCGGCCATATTGGCCGTTCGATCGGCCACGTAGGCCGATATTCGAGCTAAGAAGCTCGAGTAAGGATCTTCATCCTTCATTCCTCCAGTGGAGCCGAATCTTTTTCGGCTCGAATGACGAATCCTCTCTTCACGTCCCAACAGAAAGTTTTCTTGACCCCCTCTTCTTCATCCATCATCCTAGAATTATAAGCGTCGAACGATTTAGTTTTGGCAAATGCCGTCAATTGTTGATCAGCAAAATACATGCCAACTTCATATGTCTTCTGGTCGGCCTCGAGAACCTCCAATCCTTCGTCATCATTCTAGAAGAAAATCTTCTGGTGCACAGTGGAAGGAACAACACCTACCCCATGGATTCATTCTCGACCTAGCAGAACATTGAAATTTGCCTTGGACGGCGTCACTATAAACATGGTGGTTCTCTTCACACTCCCAATCTGTACATCAAGCAGAATCATGCCTTCAGGTTGTGATGACTTTCCTGCATAGTCAGAAATCATTATATTGTGAGGCTTTAAATCAGTCAAAGATTTCCCAAACCTCTTGAGCATTGTCTTGGGCAGGATATCACAATTGCGCCTCCATCGACCAAAACCTTATTCACCTCTTGCCCTTCGATCATTAATGTCAACAATAGGGGCTTAAGGTGTCCTTTCATTTCCTCCGTGGGAGAGTCAAAGACAGCAGAATTGAACTTGGGGATAACCCTCGAGATTTGATTGACCCATATGATTTTGCATTCATAGTTGGGGTCATCAAAGAAGTCTTCTCGCTGCATATCCTCTAGTTCATTCACAGACTCCATAGCCCCAGCATACTCGGAAGGTAAAATGGAGACCACCCCATAAATATCTTCCAGGGAGTCCTCAAAACCACTTTCGAAACAGTCAGTAATCATGTCTTCATCATCCTCGAGGAACTTTTGAGATGATTCCCCTTTTTGAGGTACAGGAATCGAGAAACAGTTTCCCTTGACACCTTCAAAGGTAGCTTTACGCATCCTTTGATGTCTCCTCCACTGAGTTTTGGTTAGATTGTTAAAAGGTTGTCGAAAGCCACGCCCATATCCTCCAGTCGTAACTCTATTAGGCCCTGTAATCGAATTTGGAGCCTTCCCAGGCCTTCCTTGCATTGGGTGTGCAGCATAACCCATTACCTGTTTTCCTCGACCCATGCCTCCCATCGTTGGCCTTGGTGGAGCGGTCCATTTTCCCACAGGCACATTCGCATTCGGCACATAAGTATTGTCGAATCTCGAGGAGTTATACATCTTCATCTTCCCTACTGGAGCATTATATTGGGGCATATGAACCTGCCTCATAGTCAATCCAGCATTCGACTGAGCGTTGAGTCTATTCGATGATTCGCCTCTAGGATTCGAAAGGGCCGCCAATGAAGAACATAAGTTAGAATCCCAAGACCCACTTGAAGAAATTAATCTAGGGACTGTCGAAAATAGGAAAGTAACTTATATCAGCAAGTTCTTACAAGGGGAGTTCATTTTTTCAATAAAAAACAAAATGTATGCACATTCCAACATATTCTCTTTACTTTCTTTATGTATAATTTTAAAACCTAAAAATATAAAATTCTTCCAGTGGTCGACACGTATAACTGCATAGTGCATGCCCACTTTTTTTTTCTTTTTTTTTTTCTCACTTTTTTCATTTTTATAACAGCCTAGTTTTATAAAATTGTGAAAAGAAAAGATGAGAAAAAAGGGAGAATTGTAAAATAAAATTCATGACGTTATATAAAGAAAGAAACTGTAAAAATATAGTGGAACATTAATTTTAAAAAAAAGTAATTTGTTACGATAATTTAATATTGTTTTGACATGTAAATATATTTTACTTTAGTTTAATTTATGGTTAAAAATAAATTACACATTTCACTATTTTTCGTTTTTCCCCGGCCTCTAACTTTTTAAGATGACATAGCAAACACAAAGTAGTTGAAATGTAAGAACACAAATTAATAATAATAATAATAATAATAATAATAATAATAATAATAATAATAACCCGCCAGTTTTTCTAACTTATATTTATCAAATTATCACAGTTTTTTTTTTCACGAGTATCCCTAACTTACTAAACAAAAACTAATCCTAAATATTTGAACAGTAGGATCGAATATGAAATTATTCGCTAAATAAACCATCTCTATAGTTAAGAAAAATAATATGTCTAATTATTATATCAACCTATCATATTTATCATTTTATTACTCTAGCTAGATAGAAATCTAAATATCAAAAGTTTAATTTACTCAATGCGTGAATAATCAAAGGTAAAAGTGCGATTTAATCAATGTGTGAATAATCAATGGTAAAAGCGCGATTTAATTTGATATTTTCTTAAAAGTTACCTAAATCTAATAAGAAAATTAAGGATGATTTAATTTAAATGAATTATGAAATTTAAATACAATCAAATCAATTTTTTTTAATGATTTTATGTAGTTCAGCTTTTATGATTTTTAAATTTTTTATTTAAAATATGTAATATTATATTATATCTGTACATAAAATAAAATTTAAAATATTTAAATATTTTGATCACTTAATGTATTTAACACCGATTCCTATCTTATTATTTTAGTAAAAATATTTTTTTTAATACAATTTTAGCTATCATATAAAATATTTTTAGCCATTTAAAAAGAAATATTTTCAAACACTATAAATAATTCATACTTTTTTATTTTAAAATTTAATTTAGTAGCTTAAAATTTTATAAAATACTTCTTAAATATTAAAAGTCTTTTAGTAACTTACCATTTTGTAGAATACATAATATCAATTTTATATACATGTACTATATATTTAGAAGAAAAAAAATATACTTATAAATAAGTTCAATTTTAGTTTGGAACGATTCATCTTTTTCGAATTGAACCGTGAAATTTTGAAAATTTAAAAACCATCAAAACGAATTGATTTTTATAATTTTTTAAGATCAATTTAGATTTACACGATTTCTCATTTGGGTTGGATTGATTTTGAAAACTTCTAATCAATTGATTTTGAACAACTTCTAATTGGTGGGCAGCTTCAAGATAATTTGCTCGATGCTAAAGTAGTAACACTGTTTGAACATGCATTACCTATGGACAAATTAAGCCTTAATATTATTTTATATTTTTCAGCTATCTACTCTTAATTTTCCTTTTCTAGATTTCCTATGGCATCCCCACATTAATCTATACACTTCTGAACCACATAACAAAACATTACTTCATTCTGTTGAGCAGCAATATCAACGTACGATTAGTAATGTATCAAATTAAAGAAACAAAACTTAGAAATAATATAAAATTGAGTTGGGAGAGCTTGTGGCTTTCCCACAGAATCAAGTCCTTTTTCTTTTGTCGGGTGCAACAAAGTATTCCAAAATATTTTGCACATTATTTAATATTATCCAAATCTAGATGACGGTACATATAATATATGGTGATATTGATTCTTGTTCCAGTGTTGAGAAATTCTTTCCCTCCACTGAATCCCACTCACATCACATATGCAATGCAAAGTCAAGAATATTATGAGTATCGATCGACATAGCACAGAAAGTTGAAATCTCTATGGCAACCCTTTGTCTAGAGTCTATAAATATTGAAGCAACTACCAGTTTTATTGGCATTCAGAACTGCAGTAGTAGGTATGGACCTCCATCAGGACCATAACCATTAATAGTGTGCCATATACGAGCTCAAAACACACAAGCTTGTTAGGGTCGTGTTTGGTTTTTCTAAGCTTTAAGTTTTTATCAGGAGAAATTTCACTCTTTATGTACCATACAACCACAGTTATAATGAATAATAATAATAAAATATAATACATATACTGTTTTTTCATTTAGTACTTTTTTAAAGGTAATTTTAGTCCTTGAATTTTATCGATTTTATTATTTTAAGTATCTATTGTAAAAAAAAAAATCATAAAATCAAATAAAATTTGTTTATGGATTAAAAGTGAAAAATTGAAAAAGAAAAATTCAAGAACTAAAAAAAACATATTTAATATGTCGTGTTCACATTTGCTTAATATGAGTTAAATTAATTTTCACACATCAAAAGTGAAATATTTTTTTACTACCCACTAATTAAAAATAATTTTTTGATAACAAATTTTGAAAAAAATTAATAAAAAATATGATTTTATTTTGTTACAAAAAGAAAATATTATTTTTTTTTCTTCTATAAATTAACGAGTGAATCTGTTCCAGTTAATAATGATTAATAAAATCATTATGACAAATAAAATTATACCCTAATATTTAATGTAACTTATAGTATAAGACACAAACTCAATATACTATTAGTTAAGTTAGTTGGTACGAATTGATTCGCGAAATATTTTGTAGATACGAGTTAGATGCCCGATTTTACAAGAAAAAAATAATAGTTTTTTGTCTTTGTCTTTGTCTTTTTTTTTTTTTTTGTTTTTTTTTTTTTTTGTTTTTTTTTTTTTTTGTTTTTTTTTTTTTTTGTTTTTTTTTTTTTTTGTTTTTTTTTTTTTTTGTTTTTTTTTTTTTTTGTTTTTTTTTTTTTTTGTTTTTTTTTTTTTTTGTTTTTTTTTTTTTTTGTTTTTTTTTTTTTTTTTTTTTTTTTTTTTTTTTTCCTTCCGTTGGCTTGGAAAACATAGTGGCTCAATATCCATATATGATACACTTGAAAGGAAAAAATAAACCATGATGAGAAACGAGATTAAGGTATAACAAACCAGCTACACCAATCACATCTTAACAAAAAATAAAGGAAGCTAGCAACTACCAAATCATACTGCTTACACACGAACATTATCAAAATAAGACAAATTAACTCTAAATAACCAAGCATGCACCTTGTGACTTTGTTAAATCCACACATCTCATATTCAAACCAAAAGATGGTGCAACGAAAACACAATATTAGCAAGCATATACATAATTACGTTGCATAGTAATAACAAAGTACATGGAAAAAGAGATACCTGAATAAGAAGAACACGTAGGTACGTAAGAGTTTTAGTTTAGAGAGTGTTGCAACACTTACTGAGAGAGTGTTAAAAGTGGATTTAGACGCCAGAAAAGAACGGCGTTATTAAAGAATAAAAGAGTTGTAAAATGGTGCAACATGTAAGTGGAAAAGAAATTGTCCGATGTAGAGAGCGAAAAAATCAGAGACGAAATTGTCGCATGTTTCGCCACGTTAAGGACAGGTGTCGTTTTGGTGCAGTCACTGATTTGGGTTCAACACGTATATCTCCTAATCTCACTTTTTTTTTTTTTTTTTAATTTATTTAATTGTTTTCCCTTGAAAACGTGAGTGTGTGTGTATTTATTATATATGCTTGATTGTGAGGTATCTGATACTGCGACAAACCACGAAAAGGATATCGACTTGTGGTGAACAACGTGCCTTGGTAGTGGTGATTCTGAATCCTTTCAATTACTTTTCTGCCATGCCATTTTTCTTGGCTATACATTTTTCTCACCATTAATTTTCTCTTTTGTTTTTGGATATTCTACAATGAGATGAAACAAACGTGATGTGTTATTATTGCAAATGCAAACATTTGGATAAGGGGAGATGATAATTAGATGGAACATTAAAGAAAGAACTTAGAATTATATATTAAGTGTGATAGGATGGATTATTGTATAAGGGGGAAATTATATATATATAACTAAATGGAATATTAAAGAAAGAACTTAGAATTATCGTATTTATTTATTAGTTTTTTATTTTAGTTTTAAAATGATGACATTTATAAAATCATCTAATTATTATAGTCAATATAATAATAAAAATTAAAGTAATATTTATAGGACTTCAAGTTCGAATGGTGTTGTTGTTATAAGTTTTATAGATACAAAAAATTGTAAATTGTAACTCTTTGATTTTTAAGGTATTAATGATAAATATGAATGTTTATTTTATCTCTTATAACAAATAAGTAATTTTTAATGTTTTTTTAAGCCAGGGACTCTTTGATGTTAAATTTTAGGAAGTAGGAATAGTGATAAAAATAACTATGAACAATATATTAAGGTGAATGTTAAGATCAGTTGTTTTAGAATAAGAAACTTAGTTGAAAATATTTAAAAGAATTAAAAATACATGAAAAAGCATTTATAGAAGATGTAACCTATGTTAAATAAATTGAATTCAATGCGTGGGTCCAACTAGTTGAACCGAAAACCAATTCTTTTATTGCTTTTGATCCAACCTTTTATTGTATTGATCAACCACACAGTAAATTAGTGACCAATTTGAGTTATTATTATTATTAAAAGACATTTTTTGCTTCTGTATATTTTAAAGTAGATAAAAGGAAAATTACTTAAAATTAAATAATAGTTGTAGTATTACTAAGAAGGTTTAAGTGGTTCTTGAAACATATATGGAACTCAGTTATGTTACACGACAGGACTGAGCATAGGGAAGTTGGGTCAGTTTATATTTGTCCATATCTAGTCCAAAATTTTGACAGAATTATTTATTTAAAATACAAACTAACCTAATTAATACTTGAAAATATAAAATGATATTGGACAATATGACATTTTAAGTTTTTAACATAATATATTAATATTAACTTATTTATATTAAATTATAAAATAAAGAAGTATATTTTATGATATATATTTTAAAATAAATGATATTATTATAAATATAATATCATATAATACAAAATATTACCTATTAAATAAGATAACTTTTTATTAATATAAAATTGTTTTAAAAAATATTTTTAATGATATATATTATATAGGATATTAAATTTCATTTAAATATATAAAATATAATTTTAAAATTTAAACTCATTCAATCATTTTCGAGTCAAAATAGGCTAGTGATGTATAACTAGTTTAGTGAAATCCCTTCTATTATGGGCTGGCCTTCCTCTAATCAATGGGCATCGAAGCCCATCATGGCCCAAGCAAATTCCTATTGTTTGGGTTGTATCTATGAGCCTAATAATACTCAAATCAAATTAGTATCTTGTGCACATCAGTGAAAAAAGAATTGTCCTCTTTCAAAATGTTTTATTTTGTGTTAATTATTACCAGATGCATTTCGAAGAATAATCAAGGTATAATTCTACTTTCTTTTTTCTTTTCAAACAAGAATTTCTTTTGAGATAAATTTCAACACTAAATGTGAGTATATATCTCTCAAAGAAAATTCAAACTTTAGATTGTGCAGTTGTAAAATCTAATCTCTTTTATTTGACTCAACTTTTGCTTATAGTAATATTTTTTAAAATGAGAATTTAGTTTATTAGTGCAAAGTATTCAATTAATATTTGTTGAAAAACCTAAATGACCCACCTTTAATAAAGTTTATTATTCTAATTATATTTTTTTATTTATAAGTCTCAAATCAGAAATCTTACTTAAAAGGATAATATCAACTATTTGTTGGTTTTCAATAATGCATACCGACAAAATAAGAATTTAAAAAATTACAAAATCAATCATAAAAAGTGATACACGTATCAACATTGGTTAGTATAAGTGATAACAATTTATATCCTTCAATCAAGTTGTCTAGAGTTAAAATTTTGATATTAAATATGGAAGAGATTATGTTAAGAGAAAAATACTTATATTATAAGTGTTCACGATTCCTGACAAAGATTAGTCACTACTGGATATCTCATATAATACTCACTAGTGCAAAAAGACGCTTTTACGTCACCTAAATGACGTCGGAACAAGGCACCACCGACGTTATAAAAACGCGATGGCAGAATGGTAAATAATGGGAACTAATTTACGTCGGACAAAGGGGGGTCCGACGTAAATTAGCCCATTAACGTCGGAGCTCTCACTGTCCGACGTAAATTTACGTCAGACCCCCCTAGTCCGACGTAAATTTACGTCGCACCACCCTAACCCGACGTAAATATGCCCCTAAAATCATGCACCTTTCATTTTTCATTCCCGCGCTCCCTGTTTACGGAAACTAATAATCCCTTTTCTCTCATTCTCTAAGTCTCCCAGTGCGTTTGTTTCTACATTGGACGTTTGTAACTCTCTAAGTGTCTGCACATTACACGTTTGAGGTTAGTTTCTTGTCTACGCAAATTTTTGGTTTATTTTCTGCTATTTGTTCATCTGGAACGGGTCGTTCTACAAGCAGAACGACCTGTACTGCTTGCAGAACGGGCTGTTCTGCAACCAGAACGACCTGTACTGCTTAAATTTTTTGTATTGTAAATTGTTGATCTGGAACGGCCCGTTCTGATTTTAGTATGGGCTGTTCCAGATGCATTAAAGATGGATCTTTTTAGGCATTGAGCTTTAGTTTACCATCGTATTAATAGAAATATTTATGGATTTTATCCAAAATTACTATCGATTTTTTAGGTTTGTAGTTTAGGTTAGAAAAATTATGAACAACTGAGTCAATAGTTAATTTGTGTTAATATATAGATAATGAATCGAAGTTGGATGAATGCAAGTCGCATTAGTCAAGAGTACAGAAATGGAGTTGAAGAGTTCTTACGTCACCTAAATGACGTCGGAACAAGGCACCACCGACGTTATAAAAACGCGATGGCAGAATGGTAAATAATGGGAACTAATTTACGTCGGACAAAGGGGGGTCCGACGTAAATTAGCCCATTAACGTCGGAGCTCTCACTGTCCGACGTAAATTTACGTCAGACCCCCCTAGTCCGACGTAAATTTACGTCGCACCACCCTAACCCGACGTAAATATGCCCCTAAAATCATGCACCTTTCATTTTTCATTCCCGCGCTCCCTGTTTACGGAAACTAATAATCCCTTTTCTCTCATTCTCTAAGTCTCCCAGTGCGTTTGTTTCTACATTGGACGTTTGTAACTCTCTAAGTGTCTGCACATTACACGTTTGAGGTTAGTTTCTTGTCTACGCAAATTTTTGGTTTATTTTCTGCTATTTGTTCATCTGGAACGGGTCGTTCTACAAGCAGAACGACCTGTACTGCTTGCAGAACGGGCTGTTCTGCAACCAGAACGACCTGTACTGCTTAAATTTTTTGTATTGTAAATTGTTGATCTGGAACGGCCCGTTCTGATTTTAGTATGGGCTGTTCCAGATGCATTAAAGATGGATCTTTTTAGGCATTGAGCTTTAGTTTACCATCGTATTAATAGATGCTGAGACTATGATAGACGCAGCTGCAGGTAATGAAATTATGAGTTTACTTGATGGTTATTTTGGATATAACCAGATTTATATTGCAGCTAATGATGTATCGAAAACTGCTTTTTGATGTCCAGGTGCGTTAGGCGTGTACGAATGGGTGATGATGCCATTTGGATTAAAAAACGCAAGTGCTAGTTATCAAAGGGCAATGAATTTGATATTCCATGATCTAATTGGTACGTTTGTACAAGTTTATATTGACGACATAATTGTTGGATCGAAACGAAAAGAGGACCACCTAAACCATTTAAAATTATCTTTTGAAAGAATGAGAAAGCATGGTTTGAAAATGAATCCTCTAAAATGTGCTTTTGGTGTTACAGTAGGAGAATTTCTGGGGTTTTTCATACACCAGAAAGGAATTGAAGTTAATCGAAATAAGACGAAAGCTATCATGGAGACTAAACCTCCATCGAACAAGAAGGAACTTCAATCTCTCTTAGGTAAAGTAAATTTTTTGAGAAGTCTGCTAGCAGAACAGGCCGTTCTCCAAGCAGAATGGCCCGTTCTGCTTGATAGACCCAGGCAGTGGTCACTTCCTTCTGCAGCTTCACAAACACGAAATGCAACACAAACATTATTACGAAAAATACATCCCAGAAAACACAAACATCGGTTAAGGAGTGGTCACTACCTCATAGAAAAACAGATGGATGTATGGTTAAGCCATTTCCATCAACACGCGAAGAAGAAACAACGCAACTCCGAAGAAGAAAAA